ACGCCTACTATATATATATATATATATATTCGTACGAGAAAATCGGCCAATACCGAAACGAAAATCATTTCGATTTGTTACGCTTTCTCCTTGAAATTCTACATCGTTTCGCTGTGTAAAGGAAGTAATAAAAAATAAATAATAATAACAAAAATATTGATTTTAATACCGTATGTTTAGAAAGGATTTTTCATTTTTTTTTTCTCAAATACTATTCGGTATTTCTCCGGCCGGTTACAAACGGAACAACTCGTAAATAACCGTGTATATGACGACGCGTTTATTCATTTCCATCGCGGCGATGTCCGACGATCGGGGGGGATAGAAAAGCTAGGGAAAAATGGTTGGAATGAAATGGAAGAGCGAGAAAGAAGAAGAGCGAAGAGCGTGAGGGAAAAGGAGGAGGACGGGAAAATGTAAAAAGATTTGTCGTGGATAAGTCGCGGGGATGAGTGGTCGGGGGTGACGTCGTGTGTAACACGCGGGATCGTAAATATCAGGATGGCGTGGAGTTTACAACGAGGTAAAACGGAGGGCACCAAATCAATTGTCAGTAAAGTGATTTACGGTCGCCGCGGCGTCTATCAATTTGCAAGCGGGAGATGCGAGCGAGCGTGGAAACGCGCGCGTACCACCACCATCCTACCGCGCTACTTACACCACGTACCCTCCTCTCCTCTCTCTCTCTCGCGCTCGCCCAACCGACTTCTCGTACATCAACTTCTCGACATTCAAGAACAAACGACCATTACTTACTACGCCCTCTCCCTCTCCCTCTTTCTCTTCATCTTCCTATCCCTCAGACCGCATTTGATTATCTTTCGATTAGGGAGAAAGAGGGAAAGGACGAGACAAGCTCTCTCGGCTACTTACCATTAAAACTACCCCTCCTCGTTGGAACTCGATCGGCGAAACGAGCGGCAGAGCCCGGCGAGCCAACTCGAAAGTCGATTAGCGCGTAATTAAGACATTAGCTAGAAACTTGCGGCATTTAAATACCCCGACGACCTTTCTTCTCCCGTTACACCACCTTCGATAACGAACGAGCCGGTTTTCATATTTGACGTAATTGGCGAGCCTAGTCCGAGCTCTCCAAAAGTCCCCGATCGAATCGATTCTCCCGTTAAATGTGAGGAGGAGGAGGAGGAGGAGGAAGAATTAATAAAGAAGGGAAGAAAGAGGGTAAGAGTGATAAGGAATGCGAAGAGAAGGATGATAAGTTAATAATGAGGGGCAGAAAAAAAAGATACGAGGAGAAGAATACCTTTTCTCTTTTTTTTTTTTCTTTTTTTTTTTTTGATATAAAGAAGATGGGAGAGGAAAAGGGGGTTGCTGGACGAAGAAGTGGAGAGTGGCGAAAAAAAAGTTGAGGAAGAAGAAGAAGAAGAATAGATGACAAAGTAGGTGGAAGAGGAAAAGAAAGATGAGCAGAGGAGTGGGAGAATAGATCCCTTCTCCCCTCCCCTCCCCCCCTCCCCCTTTTTTTTCGTCCCGACAACCGGTTAACCCTTCCTCCTCCTCGATGCGTTGGAAAAATTTTTTCCCTATTCGCCACGCGGAGCGCAACGAGCATCGAATTAAGGAAAGCAATTACGGATAATGGTCCCGACGGCACCCACCGTACAGAAGAGAAGTCGGGCGGAAGAAAAAACGAAAGATAAGGATTGGAAAGGGGGGCGAGGGGGAGAAGTTAAAAGAGAGAGAAGGTGGATAAGAGAAGAGATACGAATGTACAGGATGGTCATTAAGCGGCCGCGCTCTCTCTCGCTTCTTCGTCTTGCTCGCGTGTCTGTCCCCCTTCTTCGCCTTCCCCGGTCCGCTCGTCTTTTTGGACATTAAACCGTTTCGCGTGCGGTAATTTTCCCGAGGTCATTTTTGCCGCTCTTCTTGCTCCGTCGTTAACTTCACTTACCTCTGTTTACCCCCCCCCCTCCCCTCCTCCTCTCCCTCCCTCGCTCCCTCTTCGTATCCCTCCCTCTTCCTCGTCCTCGGTCGCAAGCTCCACTCTTCCCTTCGGCCGCGCCCCTCTCCTCCGCCCACGATTAACTCCACCACCACGATCTTCTTTCTTCGACAATCGAATCAATCCCGATCCTTGTCACGAATGAACAATCTCGAATGACGAAACGAATGGGACAGTAAAACGGATGGAAGGAAGGAAGAAGGGAATTGTTATATTACCCGATTCGATATTCGAGCGGCAAAATTTCACGGTGCAAAGTACGATAAATATTTCAACCGTGATCATTCCCAACGAATATCTCGTTAACCCACATATTATAACGTTTAAATTGTCGCAGGCCGAGGTGGGAAAAAAAATTTCGCTCGAAATTTTCAAAAGATAATATTTCCCCCCCACCCCCTCTCTCTCTCTCTCATTCTCATCGAAGACGCGTATACATATAATAATGTAACCCGATCCCAAGGAATCAAAGATATCTCTAGAAAAGAGGGAACAAAGCGTCGCGCTCCTGCGAGTATAAACATCTGCGAAATTGAACGCAGAAATTCGTTTTTCCGAAAATTGTGTGTGTGTTTCTTTCAGCGAGAAAGCGGCAATTGGTCGCGGGGAACGCGACCGAGGAAATTGAATTTCGCGATTCGTGGGCGGGGAAAGAGAGCAGGAGAAATCGAGGCGGGGATGTTAAACAAGTGAGTCGCGTGTCCCGTGCGAGGCGACGACGGTTCGTTTGCGGCTCGCGCACCGCTCACCCCTCCTCCTCTCCTCCCGCGTTTCAACGCGTGTCGTATATAACGTGTATACGCGGATGATCGAGGGCGTCGAATAACGGATCCAGATGCAACTCATCGCGCGTAAAAGCCGATACCCTGCCGTTACCACGCCGTTACCGTTTGCCCGTACGTTAACGTGCGTCAATTAAAGGACGATCAAACCGACACGCGTTTCCGTAACGCACATCCGTGGCCCGGCTATCGATTAGCTTTTCAACGGTGGCCTCTGTGTATCGCGCGGGAATACATCCGATTTTCCGATGTGCTTAAACGGATGTGTTTTATCCGATAAATGGCCAATCGAAAACCGCGGCTAGAAAACCCGTTTTTTGAATCAACGTTCGATCGCATCGAGCGATATACACTTCGAACGACAATCGTCCAGTTGATCGTTCGACGAATTCCACGTGGAACAAGAAACATGGGCGTTCACAAGGATCGAATCGTTCCTCGCGTTTCTCGTCGAGGCAACATTTCGTCGATGCGTGAGAACTCGTGGAGAATTTCAACGTAAACGGGAGAGGAGATTTCGATTTCACGTAAGAGGCCTAGATTGCCAGCGACGGGCGCGCGCTGATTGGCGAGTACGTGTCTGAAATCCGCCGTTTTCGTGCGCGCTGGTTCCCTTATGAACTCGGCTCACGGGAGATCGATCGTACAACCACAAACGATACCAAATTTGCCCCGTCCACGATCTCGAGAAGAATCTTCGAGGAAGAATAATCGGTTGAAATTCTATTAAAGCGAGCTCCTGTCCTCCTGGAGGGGAGGGGAACGATTATTATCGCCGTACGTACCGTTAGTCGCGCCGCTAAGTCCTTAAGAAATATTCTCTTGCGGCTGTAATATATTCCGAGGGGGAGTTTATATCGAGGTATACTACTCCGACAATTTCGCCCTCAGGGAAACCCCTCTCAAACGGATTTCACCCCCGTACGTAATAATAAGTAACGTTCGCCTCTTCCGGCGAACGTTACCTCCCATTCTCGAGTCTAAACCCTGTCTCTAAATAGTGTCCGAGTATTAAGCGAGCGGCACGCTCCAAATCTTTCCACGTCTATCCACTACTCCGTAATACCAGCGTAATAACGCTCCAGCCCCTCTTCCCCTTTGTTCCGGGGGATTTCGATCCGGACAATTGATCGAAGTTTCGTCGAGATCGCTTGAAACGTTTAAAAAGGGGGATGGGAATAGAATTAATTAAGGAGGTTGACGAAAATAATTCGAGATAATTGGAGACGGAGGGGAGGGTAGCTGCCTTAATTCGTGCCCGAGTTGGAAAGAGAAGTTATAGGCAAATCGATACGCCCCATCGTATCTGTCTCAGAATAGTTCCACCTCTCTCTCTCTCTCTCTCTCTCTCTTTCCCTGTCTCGGTTTCACGACTGCGGTTGAAAGGCGTCAGCTGCAACGAATTCTGAATCAGATTACCGCGACCCATGAAATTTCCCCGGCCCTTCGAAACCTTTTCGCGAGAGAGAATTACATTACGCATCCCGTGACCCCTGAGTCCCGTCGATAAACGAAACGACGACGACGACGAATAAATCGACGATTCCCTCTTCGTGCAATCGACGGAGGGAATGCGTCGTGAAGAAGGGGTGAAGCATAATTTGAATATCTAGAGACGAGGCAAGGTAGTAACGGTGGAAACTGGTAACACCGAGTGTAATTTCGGCGAAACCGATGGCCCGCGGGTATTCGGATTAAAGCGAACGGAGGGAAGAAAGAAAGGGGTAGGAGGGAGAGAGAGAGAGAGAGAGGATGGTAGAGGTCGCATTAGATAAAGGGTTCGGCACCAGAGCATCGGTCCTACGATAATTGAGATTAGGATACTTGGCCTTAAGCCTTTCGAGCCTCGGACCGATCCCCTCGATAAACGTTTATTATGAACGAGATTCTCAAGATCGGCGACTATATCGTTTCTTACATTATCCCTCTCTCTATCCGACCAATCTCCCCTTCGAGATCGAGTCGGTAATCGCTCCTCGATTTCACCTATGCACACACTGGTTTTCATTGCTGCGCGCCATCTCTCTGCGCGAAGGGAATGGAAGCTCGCGAGACAGCCACGAACTCTCGACTCTGTTCCCACTGATTGCGATTAAGAAGATGTGTGCGCAATCGCAACTTGACCGCATATTAGCATCCTCTTGGACGACTCTTGATCCGTTCGAGTTTATTCCTCGCGTTAAAGGAGGAGGAGGAAGACGAATGGTTGCGCGTCGGGGAGAAAGTAATATCGTGGTTGGCGAAATCCCTTTAACGCGTTGGGGATGGAATAATTTTCAGAGCGGACTTTCAGAGCCGGTTGGTAATCCGGGTCGAAAGCGATCGGTCACGGAGGACGAGAGAGGGAGAGAGAGAGAGATTCGCGTTTCATTAATTGAAAACGGTCGGACTAAAGGGGACGACGACACGTAAGTCGTCTTAGCTTCGGGGAAACCGACGGCGCGACATCGATTCGGGGTTAGCCTTTACGTTGAAATTAATCCAGCCGAGGCAAAGTTAGATCTGGCTAAGCCCGGCTTTTTGGTGACTTAGCCGGCCGTATGACGTCTATCCAACCTCTGTCTTACCTCCCCTCACGACACGTCGAACGAAACTTATCCAACGACCTTTTTACCCCCTTTCTTCCTTCTCCATAATTTTCTCCATTCGTCCAGACAATCTCTCTCTCTCTCTCTTCTTTTTTTTCTTTCCTCGAAATACGAGAGAGGGCGCGATTAGCGATCTAAACTTCGACCAACTCGCTCGCGAGGATGTGCGATTTCCCCTGTTCGCTCTGGGAATCCCTCGTCAGACCAGCCCCTCCCCCCCCCCTCGTGCAGAGGATCGACGGTATAAGGAGGACGGTTTATCTTTAGTACCGGCACCAGACGTTTCTTCGCGTTCACCAACTCGATTAAACTTCCATTGCAACTTTTACGAGACATTGTCGGGGGCTTAGAGGAGGGGCTGTATACGGATGGAGAAGAAAGAGCGCCGCTGCAATCCGCTAAAAACTGGTAATTGATTAAAAAATTGCCGCGATGGAGGAAAAGGTGGGGAAACTATCCGCGTGATTTAGGTGAATACCGGCGTTAGGTGAAACGCGATATATATCTCCTTGGAACAACACGAACGCTGCAACTTTAACGAGAAATCCGTTTCGAAGAGTGAATCGCCTCGTAATTGATCCGAACAAATTATACATCGCCCGTGTCGAAAAGGATGAAACTGTGTCTCGAGGCTTTAAAGAAATGTAAAATTTCTCCCCCCTCGACGCGTGCACGCTCCACCGGGAGAGCAACTCCTCCGTGTATTATCCGAGGATAGCTGGGAATAGGCCGTTTCGATAAAACGCAAACTCTGTTCGAGATTCGGCTCGATAACCGTGTTTCGTCGCTCGGCCGCGATTTACGCCTCCGAGATTTCGAATAAACCGAAAGGCAAACGTCGTACGTTACACGACTCGGGTTCAGCCCGGCTTCTCGCGATTAAATCCCAGACTTTATTACGCCCGTTACGCGAAATACCTACCGTCTATTTACGCGCGTATAAATACGTGCCTGTGTTTATGCGCGAACACATATATATTTCGATTTTCGCTCAAACTTGCTCGAGAGAAAGTTTGGCGGAGAAAAGGGGAGGCGAGAGCGACGCGTGGTGGACTTTTTCGCGAGTTGAGGATTAAAAAGAAGGAGAAGATAGGCCGACAGCTGGCCGAAAGGATACAGCTTTGTTAATTATCCGAGGGAAACAGCGGGCCGGCTCCCACGCTGCCTGTATCGACTGTAAACGTCACGCTTCCCTCCCGTGGCAGGGATCGAGATTTCTCGTAGCTAAGATTTCTTCGCAACTTTTTCTTCCAGTCTCAACTTTCCATCTCTTCCCTTATTATTATTATTATTATTATTATTATTCTCGTTCTCGAGAAACTGGATTAAACACGTGTGTGTGTGTATATATATACCTGTTTGTCGCGAGATAAACGCGAGAGCTCCGTTGACTAATGCACCTTCCAGCCCGACCAACTTCCCTCTAATTTTTAACGCGCAAACATTTGAATCGAGTCAGAGGAGAGGCAACTGGAATCCTCCGCGCAAAGGCGTTTGCAGTGCCTCCCTCGGACCTGTGTACGTGCACGGTTTACCGCGGCGTGTTGCCGCCACGAGAAAAAAAAAAGAACGGAGTAAATAGCCAGAGAGATCCGTAGAAAGCAGTTTCTTTTTTTTTTTTTTTCTTTCTTTCGTTCGTTCCTTTCATAACTCTGTCACGCGTACGATTAATTCTCCGGCTCTCGATTCTCGGTCGCGTCTTTTCTTTCTTTTTTCTACCTCGTCCTCGAATTTACATTCCATCAAGTGTATTTACGCGTTTACAAAAGCGAGGCGTGAAAAAAGAGAGAGGAAAAAAGGAGACTCCTTAATTGGGGTAGTTCATTTAATCCGGTAAGTGACGCGAAATTTTTGTGATCCAAAATACTATTTTAATCGAAGTTTCGATAACTGATGACAATTAACACCGTAACGAATGAAACGAAATAAAACAACGAGCCCTTGTTTACGCTTCTCGACCCGATATATCGATACCGTATATTTCTCATCCCCGATACTCGTAAATTTTCCTCCTTCATCCTCCCAACTCTGAATATATATATATATTTCGTCGAATCCCTAAGAAGTTCTCCGTTTAAAATTTCATGGTTCGTCGAATCTGGGACGAGATATTTTCGGCGAGTGCAAAGTGTTTGAGAAAAGATCGAGAGGAGTGGGACGAGAATAAAAGGGAGAGATTTGGCGGACGTATAAATAAATCGCAAAAAACTTCCATAACGATTATTTCTCGGCCAGTTTCATCCCTGCGGTTTCATCCCTGTTTGTATTAATGTAGCAGCACGCGGATTCGTCGTACGGATGGCAACGATCCGCGCTGTTATTACGAGGCGTCGTTTAATTACGGCCGCGATAATTTTAAATAAATTACCGTTGTTCCATTCGTCAATCCCTCCCTCGTAAATTTCACTCTCTCCGGGCCGCCCTGAAACGGCGCCAACGCGCCGGAATTTGTTAATTACGTCGGTCGTTTAAACGTCGCGCCATCCACCTCCCCCCCTCTCCATCTCATCGCCCCGCTAACTGCTGTGAAATTACTGCCTCTGTTCAAGGACAAGACGCTGGGATCGTGTTGTCGCCGTTGATAGGGGTTGTGGTCGGGGCGTTGGTCACCCTGGTGCTCGTCATACTTGTGGTGGTGGTACGCGTGCGTCGGGAACGCGTGTCCAAGCCTCGACACGAAAAACCGGCCGAGCTGAGCGAGCTGCCGCCGCAACAGTACCCGCTCCAGAACCCTCAGCAAACCGTGGAAACGGACCCCGACGTTATTCCGAATAAGTTTGGTAAGTTTCTCGATGATTCGTCTCGAATGGATCCGCTAATTTCGAAGTAATACCTAGCTTATCGCTGATCCGATGACTCCGTTAAAAATCTCCGTTTAATTATGGATCTAGAAGTAATAATTTGGTATTGTTAAAAGAAAAAGGGCAGGACTTAAATCTCAGATACAACGATCCACCAAGATCTCAAGCTCTTGATTTCACTATATCCCTAGCATTTGCAAACAACTCTCTCGGATCCCCTAATTTCTCTTTATCCAGCGTGCGAGATCTTGTAATAACGAGATCCCGATCCCTATTAATTTCGCTGCCCTCATCCTCGGCATTGCAGAGAACACATAGATAAGATAAGAAGTAAATCCAATTGGAACTAAAAATCTATCTGCCCTCGGCGTTGCCCGATCTCAGGATCGTCCAAAATTCTCAGATTTTTCGTTAATTTCGTTGTCCTTTGCCCTCGACGTGATGATCTCAGCGTTATCCAACGACGCGATATAATAATAAGATCCCTATAAATTTCGCTGCCCTCATCCTCGGCATTGCAGAGAACGCGATAAGAGCTAAATCTAATTGGAACTAAAAATCTATCTGTCCTCGGCGATCGTCCAAAATTCTCAGATTTTTCGTTAATTTAAAAAAGAATTTTCGTTAAAGAAAAACACGCAGTACAGGCGTTCGATCTTCTAGATCTCGTAAAATCTCAAATCTTCGTTTCACCCAACATTGTCCAAGGGTTGGCCAGGATCTGAAATCCCCTACCCCATTAATTTCACTGTCGTTAGCATTTGCCTCGAGCATTGCAAACAACGTGGAACCTAAAACCTTCCCCTAATTTCGCTTCGTCCTCGGCGTTGTCCAGCGTGCGTTATATAATAATATCCTAGCGCGACCAGAAGAAATCCAATAGAAACTCAATCCTTACGCTGTCTATTCTAACCTCGACAAATTGCGGAACGCGCACACTCGTCAGAATCCCCTAGAATTTCTCCTCATCCTAGCCGTTGTGCGACGCGATAACAACAGGGTTCGAACGGCATCGATTCTAAAAAAAAAAAAGGAGGGGGGGGGGAACGTACTTGGCCAGCAGCACGATCAGTCGGGATAAAGCGGCGAGGGGGGGGACAGGAATTTCGGAAACGATCGATCGCCGGTTCTGGATTTTAGCCGAATAATAGGCAGGAAACGTTCTCGCAACGCGCAGTTAATCTAATTGCGTTGGTTACGAGCACCGCCGCGATTTGTAATAGCGGCGTGTATATAGATTTTATTCAATTACCGCGGCTTACACGGGTGGCGGGCCGTGGCGCCGGCGGTATTTCATCCCAACAAAAGAGATCGGACCAGAACGCGCCAGATATTTTCCGAAAAAACATTTTCCATTTGCGAAGCGCGCGGACCTCGTTCGCCATCGATTCGTTCGATTATTTCGAGGGGGGGGGGGGGAGGGGAGGAGCCGCTCTTTTTAGATATGCTCCCGCATGTCTGCATATACATATATATACATATATATATATATACGCGCGGGACCATCGCTAAATTCCATTTTCCATTCCTTTCCATCCTCTCGATAGAAGAAAAAGACGAAGAAGACGGGATCGGAATTGGATCGAATTTTTTTATTCGATCGAAAGTACACCATACTCCGCCCCCCCCCCTAATTTTGTCAGTCATTGTTAAACGACGCGCGGTTTTCCTTGGTGGGACGCGATATTAAAAATATCGAATAAGAAAGTATATCGTACGTTCGACGAAGTTGTTGCCTCTTTTTTTCAGAGCGACGGATAGGATGGAAGGGGAGAGAGAGAGAAAAAGGGAAAACCGCACGGCTAAAATTGTCACGGTTCGTTCCGGTTCATAACGTTTCGAGCGATTCCCAAAAGAATTGGCATATCCCTCTCTGTTTCAGAGGGGAGCCTGGCGGAAGTGAGCCCGCCGAGTTATCCAGGTGGATATCCCCCGGGACACTGGGTCACGCCCGGGCCTACGCCAAGCATAGACGAGCTCTGCCACAAATTCACGGGCAGACCGACGGAGCTGAGGTTACCATCGAGGAGCGCGATACCGAGTTTACAGAGCATGCCCATGACGGGAGGAGCGATGATGGGCGGTGGACAGGGGGGTGTCCCTCTAGGAGGCGGTGTCGTGGTGGCGGGCGAGTGTTTGGACGGGGAGGCGATCAAAAGACGATTGATGGCCAACAGGCTTCCGGAGAGTTGCGTCTAGGAGCTCTTGGCAACGCCAAGTCGTTCGTCGCAGGCTGCTGGACGATCGGGCTCGTCGTTGAGAACCAGCGTAAAGACGAGCCAACGTGTCGCCGATCCGAAGCGGCGAACAATGGAACGCGATGGAACGCGCGTGCCTCGTCGATTATTCGTGGGAATAAATAAATTTCGCGAGAATTGTTTTGTAAACGTTCTCCCCTCCATACTCGGCCAAAATTTGTCGTTGCTCTTCCTTCCTTCCTTCCTTCCTTCCCTCCCTCCGCTTTTCTTCTTTTCTTCCTGTCTCGGGAAGAAGACAGAGAAAGAAGGGATGGAAAAACGGAGAGGAAAAAGAAGAAGAAAGGGGAAAGAGTTAGGCGAAAACTCTCCATCTGTGCAAGATGTTGCCAAGTAACGCAATCCCATGGAAGACTGTTTTCGAACGTGGAAACAAACTTTTCCTTCCACCGCCTCACTGATGATGATCTTCGACGTTGTCTTCTCACGTATCTCTTCTTTCGCTCCAACGAACGAGACGATTCCTCGTGGATAATTGGCAATCCTCGAACGACAATTCTTTTTTCCTTTCCTTTCTTTCTTTCTTTCTTTCTTGTCGATTAAAAATAAATGAATAATTCGAATCCTTCGGTCGTCGGAGAAGAGAATCGGCGAGAAAAGATAAAAAAGTTGATTCCAGCCAGCCTGTTTCCGCTCGGCCGGAATGAAGATGGATCGAGGAGGAACGTGTGGGAGGCGCGAGGAGGGGGAGATAACGCGATGTTACTTCGGCGAGTGGAAGGAAGGGAAGAAAGAAGCGCGGTGGGCTGATCAATCAGTTTCAACGACGGGAGAACGTATATTCGGAGTAGTAGTTTGTACGAAACACGATTTTATACATATCGTCATGTCGACTTTCATGTCCTTCGTTCGATTATTATTATTATTATTATTATCGTTTCGACCACGATTTCACACTTTCTTCCCCACTTTTCTTCGCGTAATTTTAGGGGGAACACGCTCGAGCCCGGGTTTTCGCGCAAACTTCGTGGACGACTCTCTCTTCTCTTGCGCAATCGCGTCGGAGAATCGACAATAAGCGATGAGTCGCCGTCGGATCGAAGTTCGAGCGAGCGACCGGTCGATAAGGTAGTTGTTTCCCGTCGTAGCGCGAGAGGAAAGATTTAATCCCCTTCGTTCGTTCGATGCAAAAACTGAGAAGAAAAAGCAATTAATCGGGATTAAAAAAATCGTCCGTGCTAATTTCGTTCGATTCTTTCGCGAGAATAAACAGAGCGGGAAAGGTACACGAGAAGGGGGGGGGGGAGGAGGAGGAGGAGGAGGAGTTGCTTTACGTACGTAAGCATACGCGCACGGATGAAAAATTGAATTTGTAAGGTCGGGGGAGAGGAGGCGTGGCGCTTAGCGACGTAGTGACGAGGCTTGACGGCAAAACTGGAAGTAAAAAGCGACAAAGTATATTCCTGAGAGAGCGAAGTGACGCGAACTTTGTCCGAAAACTCTCTCGCTCGAGCGTGTGTCGAGCTTTGAACGAATGTGAATCGAGGGACGGAAAGTGAGTGGAAAGCGGGATATAAATGTTAAGTTGTCGCGTGCGTGACACGACGTGAGGCGTCGCGATTTGTAACGCGTTTTTTCTCCCTCCTCTCCCCCTCCTTCGTTCTACTTTTCCTTTCGACGTATTATTATTATTATTATTATTATTATTATTATTATCAAGGGGCGGAGGGGCAGGGGAAAGAATAGACTAGAAAAAAAAGAGAAGAAGAAAAAAAAAAGAAAAATGGGGTGTAACCAAAGAAGTCGTCGCTCGTTAGTTAATGTCGTGTCATAAGTGTACATAAGTGTCGTATCGTTCGAAACGATCTTCCCCCTCGCGTGGAAGGGGGAGAGGAGGAGGAGGAGGGAGAGGCAAGACGACGAGTGAATCGGAACTGATCGATACGAAATGACACGTATCGTCGGGATTCATCGGGATTTCTCGTTCGAGTGACGCGTCGACGGCTCGTTATTCTCCCCCTCCCCCCCGTCCCCCCTGAAACGTTGCTCTCGTCAACCGAAATTCAACCGATCTTAATTGAGAGCACGCGAACGGCGACAAATAGATCGCGCCGAATCGTCTCGACGCGAAAAATTCGATACTTTTAATCGAGGGAGGGGGATAAAAAAAACGTGCCGATCGACGGGATCACGCTTTTTTCATTTCGTCCATGAGCATTAGCCTAAATATAAAACGCGTCGTAATCCGGAAGATCGAATTTTTTTTTCCAGAAGAATCCAAACCTCGTTTGTCTTCTCACACGCCCACGACAACGTTTCGTTCTCCCCTCCGAAAACAGGGGTGACGGGATTCGAGTTTTCTTTTGCGAAGCGTCGATCTCTTCTTTTTCTCTCTATACATATATATATATATATACGTATACATATAAATTCTCCTTTTTATAACAAATATTCCGACAAATTTCGATGATGATCTTGGCTAACGAAGAAGAAGAAGAAGAAGAAGGACGCCGCCTGTTGGATACGATATAAAAATCCGGAGATTAACGGACACAATCATGTACATAATCAGCAAGATGAAGCGAGGGTCCGTGTAATAAATCGATTGTATTTTAAGTTCACTGTATAGGGGGAGGGGGTGATTTCATATCAGAACTCCATATCGTCTATTAAACTCGTATGTATATACTACATAAAGTTTCGATCTGAATAAACTGTTTAACTGTCCGAACTGAATCGAGCTTTGAATCTCCTTTGACCCCCCGAGGGCTGGCCAAATCCTCTCTCTCTCTCTCTCTCCCCTCCCCTCTCCCTCCTTCTCCGTTTCTTCGATATCGATCGCGCGCTCGAATCGAGGGAAACAAGTTCGAAACATTGAAACGGGGGACGTGAAAGGTTACATCGGGTGGATTAAACGGAAAAGATAAGCGGATCGATAACCGGAGGAAAATGTTGAGCGCAAAATTAATCATCCGGTCCGACGATGGTGTGTTGAACCGTGTGTATAACGTACACCTATTAACCTTGTTGTTTGGAAACTGTTGTTGGATGAAAAGTTGAAGCAAAACGCGGGAGTTCCATCGATCTTCGTGACCGAGGGAAAGGAATTGGAATTAACAGCAGCGATAAATTTGGATAAATCGAAGAAGGTGGGGTCCTTTTCTTCCGTTCCAACGTGGATTGATTCTTGACGAGCGAAACAAAGCTCCTTTCGAAGGCGAGTAAATTCAAACGATTCGGAATGATCGGCACATTTCGCGAAATTTATATAAGAAAGGTTACAAGGAGGGGATTACGGCTACGAGAGGGAAATTCGACTTGGAGGAGGGAAAAAGGAGTCGATAAGATCGAATTTAGCGACTCGCCTGATCCTTCTTCCTTTTTAAAAAAAAAGAAAAAGTAGGGGGATGGTAGTCGCGTTTTCGAGGATTACACTTTTCACCTTGAAAGTGTAGAATTCGATCCTCACACACACATATATGTATATATAACACGAGAGCAGAGAGAAGGAAAAGCTTGAAATTTTGCTCGAACGTGCAACTATTTCGCGAAGAAATCCCCGAATGTACTCTCTGCCTCGAAGAAAAAAAAAAAAAGGAAAATAAAGAAAGGAAAAAAAATGGAAGCAGCGAACGGAATTTTAATCGCGATTTGTATCGCGTTCGCGTGCATTTCCGCGTAACTTACTTAACGCGACGAGAAGAAACATCGTCCGAGGAACGATCCTTATCGACGAGACTAACACGGCCTCTACTTATCTCCGCTTATAAACAACGAGCGGAATTTTATTTTAGAAATTTATTCGTGCATTGGGATTTTTTTTTTTTCTTTCTTTCTTTCTCTCTTTTAATGTTACAAGACGAGTGGAAGAACGATAGGACGCACAGGATTTGTGTTTCGATGAGAGCAAGTGTCAAACTTTCTTTCCCTCTTCCGCGTCTTCCTCCTCGTCGGATTTGTCCGTTCCCGGAACCATGAGTCTTTGAAGCTGGTTCCGCAACGCGGTAGACGCGTTCAGGATACAATTCATCACGGTGAACACGGTCTGATTGTACTTCTTTATCAACCTGTACTTGATCTGATTGAAGCGAGGCAACTCGATCTGCAACGAATAAATATTATCGATCGAGGAGTAGGAGTAGTAGTTGGACGGGATTGTTAGGGGAATTACATCCTCTCTTTCGGTTCTGCAGTAATCCTCGAAGTCGTTCGAGGGCGAGATCGTCGCCATTATCCTTCGATACAGGTCCTCGACATCGGCGCTGTTCCCCCACAAACCCTCGGAACGCGTCCAATAAACGAGGCCGGCCGCGATGCTGCTCTTCAGAAAGAAGAGAAGAATTGTGCAGAACTTTTGCCCGAACGTCCTCCTCTTTTTGGGCTGGCAATCGCACACCTACGCAAACCAGGAGGTTTCTCCCCTCAGAGACAGAGTTTGCGCACTCGGAAGAATATCAATATTTGACGATTTTTAAGAACAAACGCTACGCTTATATTTACTTTCTCGATTCGAGAAACGGACGGACGGATACACTTGGAGGATACCTGTTCGCCGCGTATTCCGAAAATTCGAAAAGACGTGGTTGGAGGGTCAAAAAGCGACCTGAAACCTATGCTCGCGCCCCAATTTCCAGGTGGCGCCAGGTGGCATCCAACGCCTCGAAGACTCTCTCTCTCGTTTCGACAGAGTTGAAAAGTTTTTTACTTATTTAAAAATTATCGTAACAATAATTGTTCACTTATCGAAGAATAATGAGTCGTCGTAATGAAGCTGGAACACGACCGGAAGTAACTTTATTCCGTAAAAGTAAACTTCTGCCTTGGCTTGGGAACCGGAGAAATATGGAAGGAAAGGTGGTCACCTTGGGCGGACAAGTTCTTTGCATATCCTTCCTCGTGCAGATTCTAATGGCCACCGGTTTGGGCGTCCAATAAGACGAGGCCGGGCCGGTCATGGTCGGGCAGGGTTGCATCGTGTCCGCTGAAACGAGCTTCTGAATCCTCTTCGGTCTTATGCATGTTTCCGGATTGGACAAGTTGATGGTCTGCGCGACACACTTTGTCCCTCTCTTCATTATTCCTCTCTCAATTCTCGATCGAAGATATTTCTTCCTCCTCCTCCTCCTTCCGATACTTCATCGGGATGAAATATCAACGAGCGACGGAAATATTCGAAAGGGTATAAATATTATCGACTCTCGCCGGGAATATTAAATCGGTCTTTTTCACGCTCGCCACGCGGGAAACTCTTTGAAACTCGGTCTACGCGATTGTATTTACGATTTTTCTTCTTGTCGAACGTTGAAACGAGCAGTATCTACGAATTTTACGAAATTTTTCCAAGGGTCACGCGCGTTCACTTTGCATCATCGACATAACCTCGAAACGTCCTTACGACGTTACGAATTTATGCAGAAGAGAGTTTGACCGGTAACAGGGGCAGTGTCACGTCCTCTTTGTACACACCATCGAAGAATTTTCTTTGGCTAGTCACCGAAAGTGGTTAGAATCTCTTGAACGTGGATGGCTTTTCCCTTTAGTACATGTCGCACGAATTTTGACCAACGTACAGACAGAAACTTCATGATCGTTCTTGTCCTCCAACATTCACGCTCGATAATTATATCCGCGATTACCTCCAACTTCGCGGGGCAAAATAATATTAATAATCCCGGGGGAAAAAAAAACAAAAAATCTTCGATTCCCTTTCCGAAGGAAAGGGGAAGAGATACGAGGCGAGAGAGAGAGAGAGACAAAGAGAGAGGTTCGCCACTTTCATTCATCAATCCGCCATTGGAAAAACTCGTGAAATTTTGTATCCGACACCTGCTCGTACATCCTTCGTGTTTATCCACCACTCTCTTGCACGCCCTTTTTCCACCGAAACCGCCGTTCCTCTCAATTTTTATCCCCAAAGACAACGAACGTTATTATCGTAATTGATCGAGTGATGACAAGACTCGTCGCGTCACTTTTTTATCGCGGGATAAAACCCACCGTGGCTTATTAACAGCCAGCCACCGTTGGATCTCTTCTCGAGAAATATGGCGCCTGAAATGGCGGTGTGGGATTGTTGTGGGAGAGTGTAGGAAAAGGTCGATCACGGGGGCTATCTTGCCCCGCGGTAAATGCACTCGTCCCGATCGATAAGGGAATAAATCAAACGTTAATAAATCAACTTTTAACATTCCGAGCATCTCCGCTTTATGGGGCCCGTTACGCTCGCTCGATAAAAAGAAATCGAGAGACGAGGGGATCGTGTCAAATATCGCCCCGCCCCCTCCTCTTTCCCGAATGGAACCCGAACGAAATTGCCGATTGATCAAATTTGCTCGATAAGCGCGAGCTTTTGTCTCCGCTCGCCTCCCCCCGTCCTTCCCCGTCCAATTCTCGATTAATTCCACGTGGTTAACGTGCTTCTATTCTCTCTCTCTCTCTCTCTCTTCCTTCTTCTTTTTTTTCTTTTTTTTTTTTTTCCATCTACATCCAACTACAACAAGGGACGAATGTATTCAATTTCGACGAGAACGATCGATGGACAAATGGAGGGGAGATGTTTGGACGAGGGGAGGAGGAGGAGGAGGAGGAAGAAAACTTCTTACGCCGGAGAGGAGAAATTCAGCGAGTCGGGAGTAAAATTTTGCAAACGTTGAAAAGAAGAAGATCGGAGAGAAGAAGGGAACGGCAAAAAAGGTGACGGGAGGCATGGCGGATCCTCGTTAAAGAAAAGTTGGGGGGGGGGGGATAGACTGGCGAAACGGTAGTTGGCGAGAAAGGGTGGAAAACGAGAAAGGCAAAAACGAAGGGGAAAAAGGAGAGGGGGAACGGGGGGTGGGAGTTTCGAAGCTCCTCGAGACCTCCTGGTGGTAATTAGGTTGAAAGGGGAGGCGAGCTAAAAATCGGGAGCCATAACTCGGGGGAAATAATTAATTTATAATTAAGAGGCGTAATTGAAGAAATTCCTCGCGAATCGAAGGAACCTAAGAGAAAGATGTACATCTTTCTCCTTTCTCCTCCGTTTCCCTCGTTCGCGACAAGATAGAAATCGGCTTCCACCACCTAGAGTAGAACGTAAACGTTTACCCTTTCGGATGATACCGTTTCAGTTCTTCTCCGCCATGGATAAAAATCGGGACGAGAATTGTCGAAGATCGGGAGCGAGAGCGATCGAAACGAAAAGAAGAACAATCGTTGAGAAATCGTTTCCAGGCGGATATTTCACAGGGGTGAAATCTCGATGACTCGATGACTCGAGGAATGGGACGGTATTATCGTTTCGTTTCTACCACATCGAAAAGAGGATCGATTCCGATCGATGACGATCGATGGATGGACATTGGGAAAAGAGCTTTTGACGAAGGGTAGGCAGGGAAGGGAGGGAGGAAGGAAGGAAGGAAGGAAAAGGGACGTCAGGAAACTAATTTTCGCGATATTAGTCTTACGAAATTGGTTATTGATGTTCCATTCGTCCGCCGATAATGGCGGACGGAAGCGATTCTCCGGTGAAAGGTCGTAAGTCCAGGAAGGTCGAGGATCCCGGGGTCGCGCCATCCCCCATCCTTCTTAAAGGAATTGCTTCCTTAACGGGCGTTAAATCGACTTTCCCCGACCGATCTTCCTGCCTTTGCGATTGACAAATATTTCGTGGTGCTCGCCCACTCTCTCCCTCCCCTCTCTTTTTCCCCGAGAGTTCACCCTTTTTGCCCGGAATCTCGCTCTCCCAGCGCTACCTTCCACCTGGACGAGCTTCTTCCCTCGCTTGGCCTTCTGGCGTTCCGCCAACAATCCGTACCGGACTACTACCAGCCAGCCAACAACGCCCGAGGAAAGGTGGAATCGATAGATTCGGGCCAAACACTGTCCACCACGAAACACAACATTTTCCCTCCCCCGCCTTCCTCGCGGAGATTATCTTCGGTTTCGAATTCCTTCCACGATTGCAAGGGGATGGAAGAGGAGGTCACCTCTCTCTCTCTCTCTTTCTCTTCCTTCTGACAAAGATCGACGCAAGGAGGAATTCCTTTGTGCGAGACTAAATCTTACAAATACGCGAACGGTTTACAAGCATCGATGAAACGTCTCCTCGGGAAATTTCGAGTTATACCAAGTAAGCTCGATTCGATGCACAAGTTCGAAACGGTGTCGTCGTATTTGCAACGCGTAATCCAGATATCGAACGGTCGTTAAGTCCGGCCGCTTCCGCAGCGAGCCGTCCGAGCGGGCCGCGTTATGATTTGCGACGACGCCATAAATTAGAATTACTCGGATATTTCTGTTCTGCCGGCTCCTCGATTCCGTTTCGCTTCACTTTCGTAGCACGCGGTTAAGAGGAAAAAAGTCAGATTATATATTTAATCAAATTAAATATATTATACCGGATCTTTTTCTTTTTCCTTTTTGAACCAACAGGCGAGTTACAGTACGTGAAACATTATCGGGACAATCGGTGGGACTCGGTGGATAAGTCTGTCGAACCGCTTTGGAAAAAATATTCGTCCCGTTTGAAATCCCCTGCGAAATGAAAGAGACCGTCGTTTTACAAAGAATATCGAGATGATTAATCGACTGGACGGTAAATAAAAGGGTCCGTAATCACCGCCGTAGTGCAACGATAACGATAGAGAGAGAGAGAAGCACGTGAAAAATGCGATACGAGCGTCTCTCTCGCCTCGCCTCGGATTGTGCGCGCGCCGTGTTTGAAAGTTAAATTTACGGCGGGGGACCGTTTCACGATTGCGCCCTTTAAGGCAATATCCAGGGCAAAGTACGCGCCAGTAGGCCATTACAAAGTTATAATAGTATGGCAACCCTCTTACGATGTCGAGAGGGCAGGGGACTAGGCGCCTGGGCGCCGTTTTGACTTTAAAATGAAATAGTCGAGGGGTGGGGGACGCGTGAGGAGCACGTTTGCCCCGCGGTAAACGTATACAACGGGACTTGGTGGCTCCTTTCGGCCGACCATTATCCGCCAAAGTGGAACGTTTTTCCGCGCTCGCCAAGTGACTCGTAATGGGCCGTGTAATGCGAACCGTTGGCTAAACGACTGCCACCACTTCGGCTCCGCCCGGTGTCCAGCGCCCTCGCTCGGATTCTAATTGCCTCTCTGTCCCCCCCACTCTCGATTCTTCCGCTCTTCGCGATCCGTTCGTCGAACGACGCGACGCTTGCCCGCAACTTGTTGCCTCCCACCGCTCGTCTTTTCTCTCGAAACTTCTCGAAGGATCTCGAAGATCCCTCTCAAAGCGGCCGAGACTCCTTCCTTCCGAACTTCTTCTACTTTTTTTTTCTTCTTTTTAAGAAATGGCAAAAGTTTGAAAAGGCGAGAGTGTCTCGTTTCAGAAAATTCCAAATTTCGTGCGCGATGATACACGTTCTTTCGATTCTGTTTCACCGTTCCGTATTGTTTTACTTTGTTACGCGTTACAGGTAGAATCGTCAAAACGTTGGTGACGAGAAATAATCCCGGAAAAGTGTTTCCTTTGAGTGTTTTCCTTTGAGAAGAATTTTCACGGCGAAATTATTAACGAAGAAGAAAGTGGGGCGGCGGATAGGAGAGGAAGAGAGATGCATTGTTAATAACCCGATAACCTGCTTTTTTCCGCGGACGAGCAACGAGTGTACGCGTTCGAGCGACCGAAACGTTAAACAACGCGCGGTTGTCGTTGTTCGTTGCGCGTACAACGCAACAAAAAACGAATCCTTTATTCCATTCGTTCCGGTTGAAAACTCGTATCGATAGCGTTCGACACGAAAGGGAGCCTCGTGAAAAAAAAAAAAAAGAGCAGGCAGATATCCCTCGAAAAACACGCCAATCCTAAGATTTCTCGAATTTCGAAATTTTTCGAGAGATCGTCCCAACGATTTAAAATTATTGAAAAGAGCAAACGAGATTACCCCTATCGAGGCGAGAAAATACGAACGAGAGTTTGGAAGGCATATAGGCGAGACGTATAGGATATAATACATACGTATTCGGGAGGGAGCAACAAATTCGTGAAACTCGGTCGAATTAGCCCAGCGGACGACGAGACGAAAACGAGATTTAAAAGTTTTCTAATGAAGTGCATCCGGGGCGCGTTTGGATCGTTTTGTTTCGCCTCCTCCCCCTCCTCTCCCTCCCGCGAAAAAATATCCGTTTCGAGTGGGCCGGGTGGTTAAAAGTGAAAGAATACTTGAAA